GTGATGAAGTGGCTCGAAGGTGACGGTGGATTCCTCTTGGACAGCTGTCGGTTGACTATACTGGAATATTCTGGTTGAAGCTATCTCCGAGGCGCTCTCCTTCGACTCCCGTGAAAACAGATTAAGCCTTTGTCCTTAATATGACAGGCATCCTAAGAGCAGGATAACATTTTTATAACTATATTCAAGCTTATGAGTCAATAACATTTTTGGCTTATCTCCATATGTTGTATATTTACCCTAATATATGCATTTTGCTGAGGTATAAATTGATTTGATTGGTTCAAATCATATTACAAGGTAAGTTTCTTGTCTCGTTAGCCGATTGTGACTGAAAAAACGATAGTACATTATGATGATATACGTCATATGATGGACGGAAGCCTAGACCGTTTTAAAAAGAATCAAGGGAGAGAGCTTTGGCGACAGCTTCAACTAGAATGTTCCAGTATATTCAACCAACAGCTGGCCAAGAGGAATCCACCGCCATCTTCTGGTAGGATTCACCTAATCTTTTTGTCAGACACTTTCGTTCGAAATGAAAGTGAGCTCAACAATTACAAACCAAGAAATATAGATGTATTCACCCAATTTTGTTGATGAAGGACTGGTAGAAGAAGAATTTTCCCACAATGATATGAGTTGAGCTGACGTTTCCATTGAATTTCCACATAGCTTTGCTTTCCCAAAAGTTGTTCTCATCCAGGATGGACTGCAGTTTCGACCTCGCATCGGTCTCATCTTATTATTATCTTCTGGTAGGATTCACCTAATCTCTTTGTCACACTTTCGTTCGAAATGAAAGTGAGCTCAACAATTACAAATCAAGAGTTTCCTCGAAACTCATCCTTATGTTGTATGCTTAAGTTCTTAATTAAAAATTACTGATATTCTCAAAACCGACTACTACTTCTCGAAAATATAACTTTTCTGAATTTGTTCCAAGTGTTGGCAGCTTTTTTTACGTATCCAATCAGGCAAATTTTATTCATCCCATACAGCAGCTTCAGCAGCACAAGACTAGACCCGAGCCACTCTGCATCAGCATCACACCGAATGGGGACTCTATTTCGAGCTCCATCTCTCCAGTAACCGGCAATCTACCTGAGACTCACATCTCTTCAGCCTTATCCCCTTCCTTCCAGGCTTCTAAGCTCACTTCCGTCTCTTGTACATACGGTCATGCCTCTTCGCCCACAGTCAGACCTGCCAAGAGACGAGGTCCGCCAACTGGGGCACGGGCTCGACATGCCTCCAGCCAGTCGGCACCAGAAGTTGCGAGCAACAGCAAATTCATATTATCCTCCTCCCCCTCTTCCTCGCCTCAAGAGTCGCGTTTCTCGACATCTTTCAAGTCCTCCAACCAGTCCATCTGTCTGCAGCTTCCACCTCTTCATCTTCTTCCTGCTCATCCGCCAACTCCTCCTCTTCCTCTGCCTCCGCCGCCGCCGCCGCCGCCGATGCCACCTCGACTGTCTCCTCCATCTTTGACGGAGATCCGTATTGACCTGCCTCGTTTGATCCCTTCTCTGTCTACACTCACCTCCAAAGACGATGATCTGAAAGCCATCCGAGGCTCCGAGAATCAGACCTTCGACTTGCTTCTTCGTCTGCCAAATGGCGTTTTGTCGCAGGACTCTTTGTCCCATCCACCACAGAATGATCAGCTTGATAGCTTGAGACAACGCAAAATGCTTACAGTCCAGACGGCCAGCGGAGTCGACTCGAGTCGAGCTTCGCCTGTCAGCCTGGAGGCCAATCGAGGTGCTGTCACCTGGCCAGTCACACAGACTGACATGCCGGACAGGATAAACCAAAAAAGAAATTGTGTCCGAGGCCGAAGGAGGATGAGCGAGGCCAAAAGAGTGAATGACTTGGGGACAGAGAACGAGGAAGAGGGGGCGGTGAGCTCAGATACGGCTGGTCTGGCGAGGCCTGGGCGGCGAAAGAGGCGACGCTTGGAGCCTTTCATTTCTTTACGGCTCCCGGGAAAAGAAGGAGTAAAGCCTGAGGAGGTGAATGTCGAAGAGGAGCGAAATGAAGCGAGTGAGAAGAGTTGTGATGAGGCGACCGATCAACAGACTTCCTACGACAGCTCATCCGGTCAGAGCCTGTCATTCACTTGGCAGGTGAATGGAAAAGTAAGTGTAAATATTGATATCGAAGAGAGAATACAGGAAGGATATCATTCGTTTTCATCTTGTTTTAGAATGTTTAATACAAA